AATGGAGAAAAAATATATATTTTTTAAATACAGGAGTATCATTTTAAAGATATCATTATTGTTTATTCATAGTTATGAAATGGGGAAACGAAAAAAAAACTTTAAAAAACAATATACATTAAATGATATATATTAAAATTGTAATTTATTTAAATACCAGTAAAAGCAGGTACAAAATCAACTTGTCCTCGTCAATTTAGGTGCGAATCTTGACAATCTAATATTTTTTAAACATATTAACACAGTTTAACAAAATTAGCCTTTCAAATTGTTTTTAAACAAAAGAAACACAAAAAAAAAGGGTTCACAAAAGAGAAGAGTCCTTTCAAAGCCAAATAAAAATACTTTCAACAAATATATTAATATATATTAACTTTCTTAGTGCCGCACAGCTAAACCGTTCAATTAATTATTATTTTTTGTGTTAAACGAATTCCTAAACATATTTTGAAATATCATTGACTTAATTAGGGAAATGCGCCCCGTTGCGCAGATGCATGCAAATTATATAGATTTACGGCTGATTTGGCTGGGGCCATGACTTGCAATTTTGTGCCCCACTGCAGCTGCATTATTGAATATCATGCACTTTATTTAATTATAAAATTTCCCTTCTTTTATTTTTATTTTGCATGCAGTATTTGGTCTCAAATATTTATGCATTATTTTGAACAAATGGAAAACTGTGTGAAATGCAACAGCCAAGCGCGGTCCTCCCTCTCTCTCTCTCCCTCTCTCCCTCTCTCCCTCTCTCCCTCTCTCTTTCTCTCTCTCTCTCTCTCTCTCTGGTCTCTCAATTTGCCATTTAAGCCCCAGTTTTATTTGCAGCTCAATGCGATGAACATTAGTTAGCTGAAATTGGAAACAACATTTGGCCGTTGTTATTATTTCTAATTGCCTTTTGGCCGACTCGCCCGTGGGGGCGGGGGGCGGGGTCTAATATCGAACATTAGCCGGCTCGGATTATTAAATTTAAATGCATATAAATTCGCGCATTAGCATCAAATTTAATTTGTTACTTCAAGTGCCTCAACCTAATGTTGATTTTGTTATTGTTTCTCGATTTACCTTGCATCTAGCGCCTGCTGGCCAGGTATTCAGATTTTACGCCCAATTTTGATAAGATATTCAGTGCAGTTACATGAAATTTATGTTATTTGAAATGTATTCAAATGAGTGAACAATAAAAGTAATTGGGTTTTCTTTTGTAGAACAAATAACTTACTTATTATGTTTGTTTTAATAAATTAAAGTAATATTTTTCTATCGCTCCTTATAAAATACCGTCTAGATTCGCACCTTAATTTCTGAGGGCAAGTTGATTGTGTACCTGCTTTTCACTGGTATTTAAATATATAATATAATATAAAATATATTAAATATATAAATATATATAATATATACATATATTAATATATAATAACAGTTCTTAGTGGGTACAACAAACCCTCGTGAGCCTCAATATTTATATAGATAGAATATAATAATTTATTAATATATATACATTTATATATTTCTGTATGTATATTTATATATTATTTACATATATTTATATATTTAAATTTATTTATTTATTTATACATTTATAATATATTATTTCCAAGACTTTGTGTAGCCACTTTTTAATTTAATCTAAATAAATATTGATGCTCCCAAAGGTTGTTGTACATGCTAAGGCTTGTTTAGCATCTTTGCTAACGCACAGTCTATAACAAAGCAGTGCAATGTTAGTGTAGACACGCGCCAAGTATAACAGCAAGTAGACGTTTGACGATTAAGCGAACTGCTTGGTTGCCAGCCAAGCAGTTGGTTGTGCCATAAGCAGTTCGGGTTTGTTTATAAAATGAAATGTTATACAGCACTGTTTTAGCGAACGTTATAATTCAAATGGCTTTAAAAGCAGGTGTAGCAGTGAGAAAAACCGATAAAAGATCACAAAGTAAATCGTAATTTCAGCAAATAAAATAAGAAAAAAATAAATAAAAATTAAAAGAAAATAAAATAAAGATAAAATAAATGAAAATATTTAGTTTCTTAGTAAATATGTCAAATAAATGAATATGTATGTATATGAATAATATTAAGTATAGTTTCAAAGCTGTTAAACTTATGAAAGTTAACGACTGTTTTTACTATTTTGAAGCGTAACGAACCCAATAGAGGAAGAACAATAACCTAATTTTATGCACGTAAACTGGAAAAGAAACATATCGCTTCACACCTTGGAATTTCTACTTCAGAAATAGAAATATTATTGTATTGACACCCACGGCAGCTGGAAATGAGCCAACTAATCAGCGTAGATCATTCAAAAAGCGTTTACGCAAAATTTCTCACGCCGCCCTGAGCTGTGGATTTGGACTTGTTAGCATCCCGCAGAGCTGCCGCCGCAAACTGGCCAAGAAGAAGAAGAAGAAGAAGAGGAAGAGGAAGAGGGGAGACAACGAGTGGACCACACGTTGTGCGCAACTATCAATCATTCAATTATTAATTATTAACATCTGAGGTAGGAAAAATAGCCGAAAGAGCATAGAATATTCAGGCACTGTCAGAGCTACCAGAAAAGTTGCTAACATGAAATTAAATACATTTAATCAATAGAATATTAATTTTAATTAACAGGCAGCTTTTACAAATATTTCTTTTACATGCACGCATTTAAATAAATCAATTTTAATTTGATGTGTAAAGGAAATCGCAGCGCTGACAGACAGCAAAATGTTTTTTTTTTTAATGCATATTTAAATGACAAATGAATAAAAACATAAACAAAATGCGAGCTTAAACATAATTAAACATAATTTATTAATGATGCTTTTAATCAACACGCAATTTGTTGAACAACAAACTGTTGAAATAATTCAACTATATATTTTTGTTTCTCTTGCTTTTTTTCTGTGAATTCTTGTTAACTGAAAATCAATAATGAGCCTGGCCAACAACTGGGAGGCTGTGCTTGTTGCTGCTGCTGCTGCTGCTGCGGCTTTGTGGCATCCACGTTGACCTTTTCAAATGACCGCAGTTGCTATTCCATTTGTTTGTTGCTGCCTTTGAAAATATTTTAAGTGGATTCGCAAAAGAAAAAAACACTCGCTAATGACTTTGCTGGGGCAGCAGTCGAAAGTTAATTGTCGTTGGGCGATATTTAAAAGATAGCAAAAGCGAGTTTCAGTTAGCAAAACCTACAGTGAAAACTCTCCTAACGAACACTCATATAAGGCGAACAGACCGTTCGGACAAACATTTGCACTCAAACCCAACTTGCATCAGGCCATACCCATTGCGCCTCTTTTAGGCGGACATTCAAATTGAGCGGACAAAAATTATCCGACGTGCCACCCCTAAGAGTTTTTACTGTACTAATTGTACTTTTTCTTTGTGTTATACGAGATATATATAGAGATACATTCAACTGGGACAGGCATTTAATTTAAAGGATTTACGTAAAACATAATAAAAGACTATTTTTAGTTTTATTTAATTAAATTCAATTTAGCTTTAAATCAAATGAAATAGCCATTTTTTATTAAGAGGAATCTGTTATATTTTATTTGAATATATTTTTGCACATTTGTGCTCTATTTTGAAAGCCTCGTTTCATCCAGAAACTTTTTTTTATTTTATTTAAATAGAAATGCAAAATGTTTGCTCTATTTCTCAAAATATTGGAAAAAACTTATTTAAATTTCATCAACTCAATTATCCAAAACCTTTTACATTTCGAAACCAGAACTCTAGTCCCCTTGCGACTTCCTCGCCTGGAGCAGCCGCTAATAAAGCAAAACGAAAGTTAACTAAAAATCCTAAACACTCTTTAACATGATTTGCAACCAGCCCAGTTAACAAATGCCCGCTTGCTGCCCCGAGTTATATTCTATGCTCATTATCAGGTTTTTTTTTTTTAGTTTAGTTGCAAGTGAAACTCTCTGCAAACTGACACTTTTATCGCGCTTGCGGTCAGGAGTGCAGGCAAATTTGTTCAAAACTTTTGTTTTTTATTTATATTTATTTTTTCGTGCCCTTTTTTTTTTTAAGCTAAACTGCTTTTTTTAATGACTGACAGACGGGCCAACTGAGCAACTGAAAGGCTGACAGACGCACGTGCGTCCAACGTAACGCATCCCCGCCAGAAATCCCGAGTCCAAGACCAGTCTTTGGATGTGCCGCAGTGCAGGCAACTGTCCAAAACAAACCCAAACGCACGTCTTTCTAGCTAATTTCTGCGCTGCTCAAGTTGAGCGAGAGAGAGAGAGGGAGGGGGAGAAAGGGGGGGGGGGGAGAGAAAGGGAGAACAGACAGACAGGCAGTTGGTTTTGGCTGCTGCCAGAAGTTTATTACCAAAAGTGCCCGGCGAGGGGGAAGGCCCCTGACAGCGACCGCAGCGCAAGAAGCGTCAATTCTAAACGGCACTCATTCACATCAATAGACAGGTAAGAGGGCGGCGGCAGGGGCGGGGGCAGGGGCAGGGGTCGGGAGGGGGGCGCACCTGAGCCGAGACTGTGGAGCAGTGGCAGCTTTTTCGAGAGAAGTCTCTCATGTAGAGCTGCGGTTCGTTTTGGATTCTTTAGGAGTCTGAGCTGCCTGTGAGTGTGTATATGTGTGTGTATCTGTGTGTGTGTGTGCGTGCGTGTGGTTGTGCGTTAATTCATCATTCGCTTAAATGGGTGTTACCTGTTAAGTGCGTTTATCACGTGCTGCTTCGGCATTTCGTTTCGTTTCGTTTTTTTTTTTATGAGCTTTTCTCTGCCCCTTGCGACTGTCGCTTTTTCTTCTTCTTCTTATTTTTCGAGTGGACATGCCCACTTTTATGGCGCTACTTAAACTGCGACTAAGCAAAGCTGGGCCAGCGTCTGCACCTCGGCCCCAAAGTCAATAACTTTTGATTAATGCCATCAGAAACGTGACGTATTTTAATTAAAATTTTCAGTTTTTTGGGCCACAAAAATGAACTATAATTATATGAAATTTAAGATCTAAAAACATAAATGAGTTCGGCTTACCCATTTGGAAATTTTAATACAGGCAGCAAAAACAAAAGACTTGCGTTTCCTTTTCCTTATTATATGCACACAGTGCAAGCAAAAAGTGTGCGCATCATGGCCTAAATCGTGGTAGGAGAGCCACAAATCAAAGCATTAATGCTGGAAAAAATATATAAATACGTGAGTGAGATATATTATAGAGCTATAACTTTAGAGATATGTTTATAGATATTTGATAACAGAAGTTCTCAGAAATGCTTTACAGATAATAAAATGCTGACCCCTAAATTTGAAATATATTCAAACAAAATATCTGTTCAGATCAACTGTAGACCTAGCCTGGGAAATGTGTGACAACGTCTCTCTATATACCCTTGCGGAGGGTTTAATAATGTTGTATCGAAATGTGTAACGCATGGAAGGAGACATCTCCGACCATCAGACGGACGGATGGATGGACAGACGGACTTGGTTGGACTCGGTTGTTGATGCTGATATAGAATTTATATACCTTACTAGAGGGTACAACCCGGCCTTGCCCGTGGCACGAATGTTATAAAATAAATATTCTCAAAAAGCTTTGAAAATGATTTTGAAACTTATCGGACGGTAAACAAACAATTTTCATAGAAACGTTTTCCGCCAATTTACCAATGTTGCGAGTGGATATTCCCAAATCGCTGAAGCACGTATTCATTATATTCTTATGTAGAGCTTCGAAAATAAGTTTGAAGCACATCGGACACAACTTAAAACTTCGCACAAAAAATCTTTGAGTCGCATTTCTACCGAAGAAGTTTGAATTCTGCGAAAAATGTGAAACACGTCTCAAATGGTTTTTCTTATAGATCTCTGGAAATGAATTTGAGCGCGAAACGTCACCTACCAAATCTTTGACATCCATTTCCACCAAGGAGGAATGGATTTTCCTAGAAGTGTGAAACACCCCTCAAATGAATTTGAACAAAGATCTTTGAAAATAAGTTTGGGGCCAATCGGATGGTAAACAAAAAAGTTACATACAAACGTTTTTCGCGATTTTTCCACACTTGCGAGTGGAATTTCCCTAAACCCCGTCTTAACGTGCACCTACATCACATAAGGTAACTACAGTGAAAATTTCAGCTTTCTAGCTCTTACGGTTTGGGCTGTGCGTTGATCACCAATCAGTCAGTCAGTCAGTCAGTCAGTCAGTCAGGACAAACAGTTTTATATATAGAGACTAGCGGGTATAACCCGGCCTTGCCCGTGGCACGTATGTAATAAAATCAAAAAAGCTTTGAAAATGATTTTGAAACTGATCGGACGGGAATCAAACAACTTTTATGCAAGTCGGAAAACTCTTAAAATTCACCAAAAAAATCTAAAAAATGCATTTTCCACCGAAGGAGTTTAGATTTTGCGAGAAATGTGAAACACGTCTCTAATGATTTTTCTTATAGATCTTTGGAAATAAGTTTGAACACAAAACGTTATCCACCAAATCTTCGACCCCCATTTGCACCAAGGAGGGATGGATTTTTCAAAAAGTGTGAAACACCCCTCAAATGAATTTGAATATAGATCTTTGAAAATGAGTTTGGGGCCGATCGGATGGTAAACAAAAAACTTTCACACAACCGTTTTCCGCCAATTTACCACTGTTGCGCGTGGAATTTTCCAAATCGTCGAAATACGTATTTATTAAGTTCTTATTGAAAGCTTTGAAAATAAGTTTGAAGCAAATCGGACACAACTTAAAACTTCGCACAAAAAATCTTTAAATCGAATTCTCCACGAAGAAGTTTGAATTCTGCGAAAAGTGTGAAACACGTCTCAAATGATTTTTCTAATAGATCTCTGGAAATGAATTTGAGTGCGAAACGTCACCCACCAAATCTTTGACCTCCATTTCCACCAAGGAGGAATGGATTTTTCAAAAAGTGTGAAACACCCCTTAAATGAATTTAAACATAGATCTTAAAATACGAATTTGGGGCCGATCGGATGGTAAACAAAAAACTTTCATACAACCTTTTTCCGCCAATTTATCACTGTTGCGGGTGGAATTTTCCAAATCGCTGAAATACGTACTTATTAAGTTCTTATGAAGAGCTTTAAAAATAAGTTTAAAGCAAATCGGACACAATTTAAAACGCCGCCCAAAAAATCTTTAAATCGCATTCCCCCCGAAGAAGTTTGAATTCTGCGAAAAGTGAGAAACACGTCTCAAATGGTTTTTCATATAGATCTTTGGAAACGAAATTGTAAGTTATTGTAAGAAAGTAAACAAAAAAGTTACATACAAACATTTTTCGCGATTTTCCACACTTGCGAGTGGAATTTCCCGAAACCCCGTCTTAACGTGCACCTACATCACATAAGGTAGCTACAGTGAAAATTTCAGCTTCCTAACTCTTACGGTTTGGGCTGTGCGTTGATCACCAATCAGTCAGTCAGTCAGTCAGTCAGTCAGTCAGTCAGGACAAACAGTTTTATATATAGAGATGACGTCGGAGATGTTTCCTTCTACGCGTCACACATTTCATAACAAACTTATAATACCCTATACAAAGTAAGAAATAATAAACAATTTTTAACTTCTATTTCACAGCCAAAAAGTTGATGCACGAGCAGGAAAAATTTTGCTAAGTGTAAAATAGTTATACTCGCATAACAAGTATAATTTATAGGCTCTGGAATGAATTAACAATTACCGGTTTCTAAATTAGAAATAATTTAAAAATAATAATAAATTGATTGAATAATATTTAACAATTTTATTCCGGAGCACGGCCGCGCCTATCTAAATAATTAGACATATTTATGTGTTCATAAATTTGGTAGATATGATTACGAGTCGAGTTTTGTGTTTTTCTCATTAGGCGTAAAACAACAAAGCAACAAAGCTGAAACCGAATCAAAACTTCGGCAGCTTTTAATTAAAACCCGATAAAGGCTGAGAAATTCGTTGCGGTTTGTCTAAACGGCCCCAGAAAAGGTAATCAAAGCGAAGAAAATTCCACAAAATTGAAAAAATACAACAAAAACATCAAATGGTCAAATAGATGAAAAAAACGAGAGCTGTATGCATATATAAAAGTTTGATGACGATTTCTTATCCCCATTTTTGGTGCGCACTTATTTATGTAAATCTCGAAAGCGTCCACAACGAACGCTGACAAACAACCAAAATGCATTTGTGGCTCCAAGTGCGCTCCAAGCCCGCCCCAATCCCAAATCAAGCCAAACCAAATCCAATCGACCACTCGACAAGACGCCAGAGCCAGAGCTGGAGCCAGAGCCAGAGCCAGAGCCAAAGCCAAAGCCAAAGCCTATTGAATAACTTTGATTTGATTTCTTTGCCTTCCTTTTGTATACCCTTGTCGAGAGTATTATAATTTTGTCGTGAAATGTGTAACGCATAGAAGGAGTAATCTCCGAACATATAAAGTATATATCGGTATCAACAGCCGAGTTGATATAGCCATGCTCGTCTGTCCATCTGTCCGTCCGTCCGTCTGTCTGTTTCTATGCGAACTAGTCTCTTAGTTATATCCCAGCTATCGTCTTGTATATGTCCGACTTTTTGTTGCAGGCAGTACATATGTCAGTACCGACCTGATCGGTCCTCTATAGAATATAGCTGTCATGGGAACGATATTTTTAGGTGCCACAATGCCCTCTACATATATTCAAAATCTTATCAGCATTGGACCACTATATTATATAGTTTATATAGTAACCATCTGTCGATAAGTAGGTTCTTGTGTGGAAAACTATTTTCTTTATCAAGATATCTTAACCAAACCCGGCCTGTACTTATTCAGCAATGCTACTTATTTAAGAGCCAAATCTTGTCAAGATCGCACTACTTTATTATATAGCACTATAGGAAGAATCAGTCGAAAAATGAGTTTTTGTATAGCAAAGGATTTTTTTATTTTTTTTTCTAAGGCTTTTACCCCAACTCAGCCTTTATGAGCTTCATTATTCGCAGATGTCTGTAAAACCGTAAGCCAAATGTTTAAAAGGGCATTAAATCATCGGCGTGCCGCAGATATCCAAACTGCCTCGTTTTTATTTTTTGATTTTTTCGATTATTTTTCTGTATTTTCTGCTTTAATCACTTAGTTACTTGATTTTCCACTTTATGACGGATTATGTGCAAATGTTTGTCGACCATTTCAAGAAGCAGAGCGAGGAGAAGTGAAAAAAAAAATAACTCTATTGAACAATTGTAAAATTTATGCGGATTGGTATTTGGTATTTCTTCGCACCGGCGAGGCGCTCCGACTCAGACTCAGCCATTAATCATTCGCGTTTTCGGATTCGCCCATTGTTGCAGACCGCGCTAAGCCAGTCCACAATTTATGACTTTATTATGAGAGATTACCAACTGATTGAACACCAGAAAAACGTCGTGTCTTGGAGCTGTTAAAACTGACGATCGGTTGAGAGGGAATATTTGGTGGATTTTGCTGGGGTCTTCAATACAATCTGCATGTTAATTTAACATGCACTTTAATGTGCTTTAAGAACAGTACAAAAATCAAACTTATTTTTTTTCGCCAATTTAACATTAAGTTTCTTTTTAAAACTGAATCAAGTATTTGAGATAATTGAAAGCTTTGAAATGCAGATTTCGCTATAGTTTTCAATAGAATCTTCATGTTAACTTAACATGCATGTTAATGTGCTTTAAGAAAATAAATAATAAATCACATTTCTTTCTTTTGAAACTGAAACTTTGCCAATATGTGAGCAGAACAAAAAGGCTCGCAATTACTCTGTTTAGTCAGGATAACTTGAATGAATATGAAAGTTTATCATAGCAAAGTTATTTTTTGACCGATTCTTCCTATAGACCGATGTTAATAAGATTTTGTCCATATTTAAGTAGCATATCAAAATTATGGTCAAAGAGAGACGGACTTAGATACATTTATGTATATATGTAAATATGTGACTTCTTCCCACTCTATAAAAATATACATTCTAAGATGTTCTGGACTTCACTTAATACAGTTGATTAAATTATCATGAACTTACCAACGTCTGCTTTAACACGGCATTTGGAATAGATCTTTTTATTTCTAAGGTTTTCTTTTAAAGCGTTAACAACCAGCTTTACATCCGGTGGGTAGCTGTTCCAGCTACCATTCGTCAATCCCCCAATG